TGGCGTGATGAGTTAAGCTTTGGGCTGCTAACCAAAAGGTCAGTGGTTCACGTTCTAGGGGAGAAAAATAAGGCTGTCAGCTCCTGTAGAGATTTAATCTTGGAAACCCAAAGGAGTACTTCTACTCTGTCCTGGGGGGTTGCTATGAGTGGAATCCATTAGATGGTAGAGGGTTTGGTTTTTTTAAGGTTAATGATTCGGAACATGTTCTCATGTGCTTAATGGTGCCAGTGGAGTATCTTATTTGAAAAAATGTCTGCTGAAGTGCTTTACCCATTTAAAAAAATTGGGTTGTCTTTTAATTGTTGATATAAGAATTCTTTGTATGTTCTGGATGCTAGACCTTTATCAATGTATACTTTTTTTCTATTTTGTGGGTTTTCCACTTGTTTTCTTTTCTTTTCACTTTCTTAATAGTGTCTTTTGAAGCACTGATGAGCGATTTTTAACTAATATTACAATATTTTAAAGGAAACGAAATTAGAAATATGTAATTGGTATCTATACTTTCAAATGTTACAAGTATTATAATTTTACAAGCAAACCATTGTATGCAGACTACGTTTTGAAGCTTCCAAGTGAAGTCTTGATTCCAGTAAGGGACCCATCAGAATAATGTTGTTAAAGTGCCATCAAATAGGTTCTGACTCAGAAATCCAGTATAGAGTTTCCAAGGAGCAGCTGGTGGGTTTGAACCACTGAGCTTTCGGTTAGCAGTAGAGTGCTTATCCTCCAGCATCACATCAAGACTTCTTAGAATAATGAATGGTACCTAACACTTTTATAGTATTTTTGTTCCAGGCGCTGTTTGGGTAATTTACATCTATTTTACTAATTCTCACAACAATCCTATGAGATAGAGACTTTGTCATAATATTCATTTTACTGCTAAGAATACAAAGACAGTGGGAGTTTAATTACCCTGAAGCCAGACAGTAAATTGCAGAGATGGGCTCCAAGTCTACTAAGTTGGCTTCCAGAGTCCCTAGCCCTTTATTAACCACTTCACTAGACTGCTAGCGCTGGATTCAATAATTTCAAATAATGCCTACCCCTTCGCTTTGGCAGACAATGAATCGAATGTTTTCATGGCGTCTGTACACTGGGCATTCTTCCTCTCCATACAAGCCACTCATCTGGGCGTCTTCATTGAACTGCTATCCTCCGAGCCCGGAACCCACTCGGCTTCAGAACCCGTTATTGCGCTAGTTTCCACGACGACGTAATGTTCTTTGAAGGAACAGGGATGTCGCCTGTGTAGTCCGGGCTCTAAATTTCTGGCGGCTGGCCAATGGGCGCCGAGGAGCCTTGGAGTCAGTCCAATGAAGCTCAAAGCTGGGCCGTGGGCGGAGCCAAAGGGGGACGGGGGAGGAGCTCCCGCGGCAGTACCTAGGGTGTGCAGTGTCGGCTACCAGGTACGGAGCCATGAGCTGGACTTGTCCGCGTTGCCAGCAACCTGTTTTCTTTGGTGAGGCCCGGGCTGAGGGTGGGTGAAGATGGGGTGATTGTGGACCGCTGGGTTTTCTGAGATGCTGACGGCGGTAGGATCTCAGATTCCCTTTTCTACCTGTCGTGGCGTAGAGGTACCGCGCACCTCTGGGGCCCCTCTCCGAAAGCCAGATGGGGCGCATCGTGTGGTGGACGAATGGAGGTAGTCTCACCCCATCGTCTTCAGGGAGCAAGGTGGGCGGGTCCGGTTTCCCCAGAGAGCTAAGAGGTAAAGGAAGATGCTTGATACTAGCCTGGTACTCCGCATTCCGGTTTCACCTTGCCCCCCACAGCTGAGAAAGTGAGCTCCCTGGGCAAGAACTGGCATCCCTTCTGCCTGAAATGTGAGCGGTGCCACAGCGTCCTGTCCCCTGGCGGGCACGCAGAGGTGAGGCCCTGTCAGTGAGCACAGCCCTGTCTGTCATTGCTCCCTGGTCCCCACCACTGGTTTCAGTCCTGGAGGCCTGCCATAGGCAACCACAACTGTCAACCCCGAAAGCCTCCCACCCTGTGAACTCCACATCAGTCACAGGGGGAGGAGGGAGCGGGGAAGGCAGCAGTGTCTCCTGATCTCTTATTGCCCTACCTCCTTTAACCACATTGGCAATTCTGGCTAGTGCCCACTTATGCTAGCCCATTCGCTACCCCTCCCAACTCCACCAGGCCAGGCCAGTGGAGAGACACACCTGGCAGCCTGTCTTAGAAGAAGACCAGTGGGGTGCAGAAGAGTCCCTCCTCCTGACCTGAACAAACCCCTTCCCTCTGTTTGTGTCCAGCACAATGGGAGGCCATACTGCCACAAGCCATGCTACGGGGCTCTCTTCGGACCCAGGGGTATGTACCGGTTTGGAAGGGTCAGGGCACAGCAGAACTCTCTTTGACTGGGAGCTGCAGGCTCAAGCCATGTCCCCACTTGTGTTCTCTGCAGGGGTGAACATTGGTGGTGTAGGCTCCTACCTCTACAACCCCCCAACTCCCACCCCTGCCAGCAGCACTCCCCTCAGCACCAGCAGCTTCAGCCCCCCACGACCCAGGACTGGTCTCCCCCAGGGCAAGAAAAGTAAGTGAGGTTGGGTCCCAGCCCCTTCTTTTCCTGAACCTTCCTGAACTAGGTTGGAACAGGAGATGGGGTGAGGTAGTTTTCCACCCAGCACTCTGCTTCTGATTCTTACAACTTTTGTTCTTGGCAAAGTCTTCTCTTACCCGTGGCCTCTTTTTTGATGCCCATGTTAGCTGTTATAAGGTAACTAGGGCAGATTGCAGTATCACAACCATTTCCCAGGTGAGGAAACAGGTCCAGATAGGGCAGGTCACCTTGTGCGGTCACACAGCTAGTCAGATAGAGCTGACCTGGGACTCAAGTCTCTCAGGGCCATGGAAAGAATGGCCTATGGGTGAGGAGGGGTCATTAGGATGGGGCCAGCCCCTCACCTTTATCAGCTTTTCCCTCCAGTCCTTGTTCTTTCCTCCCACTGCCTGGACTGGACACTGATACCATGCTCCCAACACCTGACACCTCTGCCCCCTCCAGCCCCTCTATCAGCTCAGATTTCCTGAGGATTGAATTGCTCACAGGGCTGGGCTGCTGGGCACCTGAGCCCTTGAGAGGACAAGAAAGGAAAAGGTGGTCCCTCCTGCATATAGTGATGGGGCTCAGATCTGAGCCTGAGGAAAGCAGACTCTTAGCTGTCTGATTGGAAGGAGTGGGGAAGGCTCTGGGATGAACATGGCTTTTGAAAAACATTAGTGCCATGTGCAGGCATGTGCTGGTGGGACCTGTGTAGGTCCTGGCCCCCACCTCAGCCCTAGCCAGGGCCTCTTCCCCTTAAAGGCCCTCCCCACACGAAGACGTTCACTGGGGAGACTTCACTGTGCCCTGGCTGTGGGGAGCCCGTCTATTTTGGTAAGTAAAAGTAGAAAACTTGGTGAGGGGGTGCAGGGTGGACAGCAAGGGGCAGAAAAGTGGTCCAAGGCAGGTGGATCTCCCTACCTGTCCCCAGAATCACTGCCTCTTCCCCCACCAGCTGAGAAGGTGATGTCTTTGGGCAGAAATTGGCACCGGCCCTGTCTGAGGTGCCAGCGGTGCCGGAAGACCCTGACTGCTGGGAGTCACGCTGAGGTAAACGGCAGAGATGGGTGGGTATGTTGGGAGGAGGAGACTGGAGATGGGAAGAGAGACAAGCTTAGATGAGCTTCCTTTTTCTCTCCCTGTCCCACCCAGCATGACGGCGTCCCCTACTGCCACATCCCCTGTTATGGCTACCTGTTTGGCCCCAAAGGTGGGCAGCCCCACTGCAGACACCGAGCCTGAAGTATGGCATGTACATGGTCTGTAGGGATGTGTGAACTTCCCCTGTGATCAAACACACCCTAGCCCTCTTCCAGTTTCCCCAGTCCTCAGCTGAGACTTTGGTGATGGGGTTCTCTCCCTCAGGTGTGAACATTGGCGATGTGGGCTGTTACATCTATGACCCAGAAGAGAGAAAATCCAAATGAGATGCTCACGGGAAAACCCACTCGATTTCAGGCTGCCTACCATTCTCTCTGAGGTCCAATGGGAATGGGGAAAATGGGGGCCTGGGCCTAGGCTCCATGGGAACAACAGGCTTGTGGGACAGAGAGCCTGGACTTAACTCTGCCACCTCTCCCTTTCCTGTCTTTCCTATCTGACTGGGGGTCATAGGTCACCCCTTTTGAAGAATGGCCTCCTTGTCATCCCCAGGAAATTCTAGAACTTCAGGGTACTCATAAAACTTGTTTATGGGCCTCAACCTCCCTGGCTTCTCCAATAAAAGGTTGTCCCCCATGCCTTCAACTCTTCTTGGGTATAAGGCCTAGACAGAGGGTTACAGGATGGGAGTGTGTGTCTGTGTGTGTGCATTGGGGAGGGGGTGTATTAGCCTACAGAGTGCCTGAGAGGTAGCAGAACCAGCCATGGGAACAAAGGGCTTTTGTTTTCCTGGTTCCCTAGTGGACAGCCCAATTGGTACCAGAAATCATAGGACAGTCTTCTTCTTTAGCAACTTCTCCAGAAGCACCTTCTTCAGTATTTCATTTGATTATATATAATAACAGATTCTGTTGTGAAGGCTGCTAAAAGGTTTCATTATCCCATCTGAGAGATGAACAGGCAGAAGCCCAGAGAGGGGAAGCCATATGCTCAAGGTCACATAGCATATCAATGGCAAAGCTGGGATCAGAGTCCAGGGCAAACACAATGGCTTCCCATCCAGGCATCTCCCCACTGTTCCTCATTGCTATCCCAGCCCAAGAGATACTTTTACTCATAGAATCCCCCAGCCATAACAGGGGGCCCCAACATTTTCCAGTGACCTATTGTAATTCTGGGAAGTTGCCCTGTTGCTGGAAGAGTTGAGGATGAGTACAAGGAGTGGGTACCAGTGGCAACTCCAGCCCTGGGCCGAGGGCTTGATGTCCCAAGACCTGGCAACACGGTCTGCCCTTCTGCTCTTTCAGACCCTGCAGCAGAGCTTCCATGTCTCCAATGCCACTTAGTCCTGGAACTGCTTCATGTGCATCTCTTCCTCCTGAAGGCTGGATGAGCAGAGAAGGTTTAGCCCCTGAGCCTATCACACAACCTGTCCCATCAGGGCTGACCCAGGACTCTCCCTAACCTCTGGTATGCAAATACATATACTCACTCCCACAAGTGACTCACACACATGCTTGTACACATATGTAGGCACAGCTGAGTATGCACATATACCTCTTCCTGATAACCTTGGGTATTTGTGTACACACACGTATGGATTCATACCAGGTTACATACTCTAAAACACACTCAACTGTTCACTCATATGCACCAAGTAGATACATTTCACATGTGCCCACATGCATGTGCTTACACATATGCAGATAAGGAATGCTATGCACATACCTTTTCCTTTCCACATCCTGGATGGTCTCCGGCAGTTGTGCCTGCCTTGTCTCTGGCAGCAGGAGAGCGATGCAAGCAGACAGCAGGGCAATCCCCCCATAAGTAAGCGTGGGTAATGATAGCCACACTCCATCCAGCAAGACTGCCAGTGGGGCCAAAGAGCCCCCCAGCCGGCCCACTAGTGCAGTCAACCCCATCCCTGTCTGTCTGTTCAGAGAAAGGATGAGGGAGGTTGGTGCTCATACCTACTTGGGTCATGCCCCCCAGGTCTTCCTTCAGGGCTGGCAGACCCTAGGAGCCCTTCTCCCCAGACAGCTAAGAGAGCTGGGGCTTCTTTCAGTTGCTCTTTCCACCTGGCCAGAGGCTCCCATTCTCAGTTCCAATGAGGTGGCATGAAGCGAAATCATTGCAGGAGAAGAAAAGTTATGAGAAAGGAGGTGGGCAAAGGGTAGTATGGAACAAAGTCAGTCAGCAGCTTGTACAAGATGGTAAAAAATGGCAAAACAAAAACCAGCCCATGCTGTTGAACTGAATCTGACTCAACACCAACCTACAGGCTGGGGTAGAACTGATTAGAACAGTTTCCAAGGCCTGTAAATCTTTAAAGGAGCAGACTGCCACACCTTTTTCCTGTGGAGCAGCTGGTGGCTTGAAACCAATGACTTTTCAATTAGCAGCCCAATGCTTTAACAGTTGTGCCACCAGGGTACCCTTTGAGCTGATCCCACTGCCATTGAGTCATTCCCAACTCACTGGAACCTTGTATAGAAATTCCCAGACTGAAAGTCTTTAAAGGAGCAGAAAGCCTCAGCTGTCTCTCACGGAGTGGCTAGTGGGTTTGAACTGCTGACCTTGGAGTTAGCTGTCCAGTGCTTATCTTAATAGTGCTACTAGGGCACTGCCATATTGTTAGAGGAAGCTCAAGCTTTTCTAAACACACCCAGCTGCATAGACATCTCCTCTTCCAACCTGCCACTTCCAGGAGTCACCACCTAAAGGTAGCTGAAAGGGCCCCCAGAAACAACCCCCAAGGGCAGCTCTGCCTCAGTGGGAGTGAATGTGGATGGGGTGGGTTGCCTGTGGTGGCTCAGAGTCATAGTGCTTAAGAAAATGCTGCTCCCTTTCTTCCCAGACTCAAACGCAGGCAGGCCCTGATCATCTTCGTTTTCAAGGTGTCAGGTTTGGATGAGAGGGACTGAAGTAAAGTGGTGTAGTGGTTAAACGTTCAGCTGCTAACCGAAAGGCCAGGGGTTCAAACCTACCAACCTCTCTGCAGGATAAAGATGTGGAAGTCTGTTTCCATAAAGACTGTAAAGTACGGTCGAGTCGGTTCTGACTCATAGTGACCCTGTACAGGGTTTCCAAGGAGCAGGTGATGAGCTTGAACCGCTAACCTCGTGGTTCAAACCTGCCTTTGCGGTCCAATGCTTCATCCTACAATGCCACACCAGGACTCCAATGACGCAGTTCTACTCCGTCCTATCAGGTCGCTAATGACTGGAGGGCAGTAGGTTTTAGGTTCAATGTGTACATAGGGGTGTTGATACCAAATGTGACTAACAAGCCCACCTCTCCCCCTGGAGCCCAGGCGCTCCTCACCTGAGCACGGTAGGGTACAACTCCGACGTGAACAGATAGACAGTGGTAAAAGCAGCTTCAGAAAAACCCTTCCCTATCACCTCCAATGCAGTGTTCCATAGGCCCATCTCTGGAGAAAAACGGAGTTCAGGCAGTAAGTAGGCCCTACTAGAAGAGCTAGGGCTTCTGGTATAGGAGGCCAGGCTGAAAAGAAGCTTGGGCGGCGTGGGCGGCGCCCTAGAGCAGTGCCTCCCGGGGTGGGCGGGGCCTTCGGGGGCGGGGCTTACCCGAGGACACCAATATCCTGGCGCCCAAAGCAAGGGCTGTGCCCAGCAGCGTTCCGGCTAGCGTGAGACGACGTCCCGCGTGGCGCACCGAATAATAGACCAGCAGTTTGGAAGGTAATTCCACGACTCCGAACAGCAGTTGGGTATGGTAAACGTTCAGTCCCAGCCCAGACACATTTAGGCTCAGGCCATAATAGGAGAAGTTTACTCCAAACCTGAAGAGGATCCTGGTGTCACTCAAGGGACCCTCCTTCCCATCCTCCTTGTCTTCTCAGGGTCTGATGCCTAGGATAATTCCCTCTCCATAATCTCCACCTTTACCCCCTTCCCAGCGAATACGCAGCACGTCCCTGCATCCAAAGCCTTTTATCCTAATGGTCACAGCAACCTTGTGAGGTCTGAACTAATAGCATCCCCTCATACACAAGGGACACTGAGGCCCAGAGTGGTTAAGTAACCTGTCCAAGGCTGCACAGTAAGGAAGGGCACAGTCTAATTTGAACCCAACCAAGTAGCTCTTGTACCTGCTCCATCCTTCTGACCGCACCCAGCCAGATCTCCCCCAGAAGCTAATGCTCCTTTCCTCCACAATTGCAGTTCATTTGTTCCTTATCCTTCTCACACACAGCCCCACCTGGTGGCTGCCCCACACCAGCCTTCCAGGTTCAAACCATCTGTTCCTCACCACACCACCATACTGCACAGTGAGATGTGTCGGAGCCGTGGTGTTCGAAACAGGTCTAAGTATGAAGGTCTTCGGTACACCCGCTCCCTGGTGGCTATCTTGCTTAGGACCTGGGCAGGGAGGGAGGGAGGCAGTGTTGTAAGATCAGAGTAGACTATGTGGCTTCAGCAGGGCACACTGCTCTCTCTGGGTCTCGAATCCTCCCTTCTGCAGGAGTGGCAGGGGCGGCAGGGGCAGGGGTACACATGAGAGCTGAGAAAAGGTCAAGAGTGTGGGTGGTGGTGGTATTAAGTGCCGTAGAGTTGATTCTGACTCATAGCGACCCTGTATAGGGTTTCCAAGGAGCAGCTGGTGAGCTTTGACCGTCGACCTTGCAGTTCAAACGCCGACCTTGCAGTTCAGTCTGGCGCATTTACCCACAGCACTATACCAGGACTCCAAGAGTGTGGGTAGGGTATCCCAAAGAGTTTGGAACTTTCCATGGTGGTCCGGAGCTTTTCCAGCCACATGCAGTAAGCCCCTAGGAGGAGGCATTTGACACAGGACACACACACATTCACCCTCACCTCCCAGCTCAGGCTGTCCTCACCCACAGGCCGTCCATTGAGCTTGGCACAACGGAGCAGGTACCTGTGGGCCTCCTCCACACGGCCCTGGGTCAGAAGCCAGCGGGCAGACTCAGGCACCCACCTGGAGAAGAGGCAGGGGGCCATTCAGCAGGAAAGTTGGGTTCTGGGAGTGGCTCACAATACTCCAAGCCACCGTCAGCCAGCTTCCATTCAGACTCTTGCTCAGGCAGCCCTTCAACCAGGAACATTATCTTCTCCCATACACATACCTGATGAACTCTTGTTATTGTTAAGTGCCATCAAGTTGGTTCCGATTCATAGGGACCATATATATAGAGTTTCTGAGGAGCAACTGGTAAGTTTGAATCCCCAACCTTACAGTTCAAACTGATCTTGAAATCCAGTTCTTAATCCTACAATGCCACCCCAGGACTCTGATGAGCTCTTACTCATCTTTAAGGCAATTCAGGTCACTTCCTCCTAAACTTCCCTGTCTGGCCCTGGGTCCCTTACCAACCCTACCTTACCAAAATGAATTGGCCTCACCCTCAGGACCTTGGCCCCAATACCTGCCACCAACTCACTCTTCCTATGGGTGACAGGAAGGCATAAGATGACTGTGGGACCCATACCCGGAAAGGTAGGCAATGAACTGCCCACCCTGCCTGGGCTTCCACTTGCTTTCCAGGGATCCTCTCACACCCCACACTAGTCCTGCTCATTCTCCTACCTCAAACTCTGCCTGGCTCACTCTGTGTCTGGGTCGCTCACTGTGTCTGCCACCATCTGTATCTCTGAATCTGCCTTTTAGTTCTGAACTGTCACTCACTGGCTTTGTCTCTCCCTGTCTCTGTCTTGTTCCTTGTTTCTCACTGTTCTGAGTTGGCATCATCTATCTCCATCGGTCTCTGTCTATTGGTCTCTGTCTCTCTACTGATTTCTGTTTCTCGGTCTGTGGAGCCTCTTTTTCTCTCTCTCTATCTCTTAGGCTCTGACTTTGAGTCTCAATCTCTTATGAATTCTGTCGCTGAGTTCCTGGATCTCCAGTTCCCCAGTACTTGAAGGTCTCACCAAAGGCTGAGGATGCCTGGGGCACAAGGCAAGGTGACAGCCAGCAGAAGCCATCGCCAGTCTCGGATGAGGTACCCGACCAGTGCTAGCAGCATGACACCCCCAGTCCAGAAGGTACTGCTCAGGACACCTGCCACAGTGCGATGTCCCACATCCAGCCATTCCATTTCTGGGCCCAGGTTAGAGGCCGGAGAGAGAAAGGCAGTTAGTGGTGGCCAGGTGGGCTCAGCTCACCTTTGACAACACCTCCCTCCAGCCCTGTAGGCCCACCCCTGACCATCCCTTGTATGGCTCACCCAGTGGCATCACGATGATGGTAAAGCCAGCCAGAGCAGCGCCAGTGAGGGTGCGAGTGATGACGAACATGGCATAGCTGATGGAGGCTGCAGATGTCAGGCCCAGCACCAGGGTACTGACATAGGCTACCAGTAGCAGGCGGCGGCGCCCAAACCTGCAAGGAGGCCTCCATGGGAAGTAGCTGAGGCTGCAGGGTCAGCTCCCAAATAAAGGGGAAATCCCAAGACAGAGGCAGACTAGACCTATACACCTGCTAGTGTTGTAGGAGAGAGTCCCCCACCCTACCCTCCTGTTGGCTCCACACCTCACCCCACCTGTCCGACAGGTATCCAAAGGCCACAGCCCCCACCAGCACGCCAGCGAAGAAGAAGGTAGATGTGGCTCGATTCAGGCCTTTGTGCTCACACACCAGGTCCCACTGTGGGGACAGATCAAGAGGGGCCTGCAATGGGCACAGGTCCCCTTCCAGTGGACACCAGCCCCTCCTGCAGACCTTTGGGCTTTCTGAGGTCAACTGAGACATCTCCCTTACCTCCGTGGCAGCTATTGAACCCCCAGCTATCCATCCCAGCTTCGGGGTAGTACACCTTGCCCCTGCCCAGTCCTGCAGCCTCAGCTTCTTCCCATGGAGGCCTTCACCATGACAATAGGAGTCATACTTCATCCTGGAGAGACGTAGCCTCTGCCAGCACCCCATACCCCAATGAGCTATGTAAATCCCAGACCCAGGGTCAGAAAAAAGAAGAGGAGAGAGGGGGACCACCATTTCCCACACAAACACCCTTCTCAGTCCTCTGACCCAAATTCCTCCAGTCATCTTAGCCCTTCCCTACCTTCATCTCCTCCTAAGCTAATAATAGCAGCTCCTGTGTTTGGGTCTTTACTACAAGCCAGGATATAAACTCAGTGCTTTATCATCATAGACCCCATCTAAAGATGGCTAAACTGAGACTCAAAGAGGTAAAGTAGTGTATCTAACATTCACACAGTTACCACCCAAGGTAATGGCAAGCCCATCCCACTCACATGTTGCCCCCCAACTTGTGTTACCTCCGTTGCAATGGTGGAGGAGAACTCTGAGCGGTCATACTCCCAGCCCTGGGGACAGGGCACTGTGAGCGGCTCCCCTGTAAGCTCCCCAGGGCTATGTCTTCTTTCATCCAATGTGGTGTTGGAGAGGGGGCCGGGGTGGGAGAAACGGAAGCAGGAACTGAATGTGCCATCGGACTTCAGGGGCAGGTAGGCCTTTAGCCACTCGTCCTGGTGGCTGAAGTTGTCAGGGGCCTCAGGCAGGGTACAGTGGTGGGCAGGCACAGCAGCGAGAAAGACAGGCAGGAGGAAGTGCAGGGGCAGCAGCATCCGGGGCAGGGCCAGTAGGGCCACATTCCACCACTGGAAGGGCCCAAAGGCGCCCACCTGATGCAGCAGCTCCTCAAAGCTCATGCTACCTACCCACCTACTGTCCCTGGCTTGAGCTTTCTCTGCAGTGCCCAGCACAGTTCAAAATCACTTCCCATCTGGACCCTTGGACTCTGGGGGCGGAGCAGGATAGACTGAGGCATGCAGCGCCTGCAACCAGAATCTGGCCTGCAAGAACTGGCCCAGGAATGGGCCCTCCCCAACCACCCTGGTCTCCTCTCTTCCTGGGAGGGAAAGGCTGCCATCGGTTGAGAGGTCACAGACTCTGGGGCTTACACATTGATGCTCACAGACTGGGTTGAGTAGCTTGGTGTGTAGGAGAGGTTAAGCCCCCAGGCCCTTGGCCAGCAGAACTCTCAGAGTCCCTGAGAGGACGAGGACCTGGGGGGGCAGGGTGCCAGCTCTCCCTGGATGCCCTTTATCCTAAGAGGCTTCAGGTCAACCTTGCCTCTTTGCAGCCCCAGCCTGACCAACAACACATGCTTCAAGACTGAGGGCCAGGCCCTGACCAGGAGAAGTTTCTTTCTGATGAGCCACAAAGCCTCGCTGTACCTCTAGGCTTTCATCTGGAACTTATGGTCTGGCCTGAGACAGCCTGGCCTCTCAGAGACCCCAAGCCCATCACCCTCCACTTCCTCTTCCAGGGGCTCTCTCCATACACAAACCCCTACCCCATTTCTAGGAGCTTCCCCAATTGCCCTTTGAGGGCAGGGAGGGAGGGCCTTTGCCAAGGTCCTGCCATGGATCTCTACAATGCATGAGACCCAGGACTTGCTCATTCCATTCCCAGCATGGTCCCTTCAGCCACACACAGCAGTCATCAACATTTGATTTGGCTCTGGTTCACCAAACACCAGGTGCTGGTACAGCTGAGATGGCCTTTCCACTGCGGAGTTGTTAAATTGTGTTCCCAGAAGCTCCAAATTTCTAAACAAGTGGGCTTCAGAAGATGTCTTTTGAGAAGAGGCCCTGGCTTAAGAAAAGAAAAAGAAATGAAAATTGAAAACCACAAATTTACTCTGGATCCCTCTTTGATAGATAAAGAAACCAAAGACAGGAAGGGAGACAGAGGGACTTGTTAGTGTCACTCAGCAGCCGAGCTGAGGAGACACCAGGGCCCTATTCCCCCAGCCCAGGAGCCTTGCCTTTGATCCAAGCTGCTGACTGGAGGGGGTCCTACTGGGGTGTCGACAAATCTCTTGCTAGGATCACCTCCCATCATCACCACTACCACCAGGCTCTGCATTTGCTTCCTGTTACTGCCCTCACTCCCACACCTACTAGTACCACCATCCGCACAGACCACACCTCTGGTGGAGCTCCTTCCCTAGTACAAACTGGGACCCCTCCAGTCAGCAGCCTGGGTCAAAGGCAAGATTTCTGGGCTTGTAGGATAAGCACTGGACTACTAGGATAAGCACTGGAAACCCTATACAGGATCACTATGAGTCAGAATTTGACTCAACAACACATTAACAGTGCAATTAAGGCATTCTTTAAGTTATAAAGATGCCTCAGACCCTGTCCCAGGAACTTAGTCTTAACAAGAGGGTTAATTAAGATGGCTAGCTACACAGACCTTTCTGCCTTTTTCAATATCTTCTCCATGCACCCACCACACACACTGTTTTAAAACACAAATGTATTTAAGTTTGTCACTGACTCCCACTACTGAACTATGGAAGTCTAGTTCTGTAGCTTGCCTTCAGTTTCACTCCCCCAGCTGGCCCCTCCCCAACACACCACCTTCTCTCTAGTTCCTCAAACACACCACCCTTAGGCACCTCACACTTGTATTTAGTCTCTTGGGCAATACTGGCCGCCCCTTAATCACTTGAAGGCCACCCTGGAGAACAACAGGAGGGTGAGACACTCCCGATCCGTTTCACCCACCTATTACCGCCTTCTTTAATATTATATAATCATTATTTTCATAAATATATAAAATGCCATAATTTTATGCAACTCCTGAGAGGTGAGGTTTTTGGTAACCATTTTTTAAATTGTGGTAAATATATATAGACATTAAATGTGTTCGTCGTGTTGTACAACCATCACCATTAACCATTCTCGAATTTTCCACCACCCTTAACAGAAGCTCAGTGTCACCTAAATGTGTCTTCCCTCCTTCTCCCTCCTACCCTGGTGACCACCTATCCTCTCTGATCCTAAGAGAAAAACTTTGAAGCCACCTTATCTGTTCAGAGGTCACAGACTCTGGGTCTTACACATTTTTTTTTTTTTAAGTTTTATTGTGAATTATGTGACAGTTTACATGGGAGAACATTAGTTTTACATTCATCTTATCATATATTGTTTCATTGCCATGGTTACAGTCCCCTCCACGCATCACCAGTCAATGAAAGGGTGCATCCTATAAGCCTGCTTCCCTCCTTCCCCCCCATCCCCAGTAGCTGCTCCATCTCTCCACGCCATCATCTCTGCCTCTGTCTCTGGGATCACTGCCTCTCTGAGTAGGGTTCTGCTCTCCGCTCTTCGCCCTCCATGGTTCCAGAGACCTCCGCTCCCTGCCTGCAAAGCCAATCACTCCCCTCCTTGCCATAAAATGTCCACTTTTACATTTACAACCTTCACAATCAGTTCTGGTAACAATTATTCACCCTTGCATCACAAGAGACCTATCTGCATTTCCTTTAATCAAACCCGCCTAGACAGATTGGATACTACTCACTGGAGATTCTACCTTGCTCCATGCTCTCTGGACCTAGGTTCCCTCTTGAAAGCTTGTAAGCCAGTCACTTCTTGCCTTTGTAGCACCCCATTTTGGATAGTCAATGTCCAAGTTGCCCATCCCTGTCTATTCTCTGTATGGAGGGGGTGAGAATTGGGTCTTACACATTTTGATAAATTAGCAGCTCCTAAGAGGGCCAATCTGAGGGTTTTCCATAGCCAGAGAGAACAACCAATGAGCCCAAGCCTGGGTATTGGCTGTGTGCCTTGGTTTTCACAATGGACATCTCTCTAATGCCTTAATATCCAGAATAGCTTATGGCTCTTAGGAAACTCAGATCTAAGTCTGGGGCCTTTTCCCACAGAGGGTAATTTGGCACTCCCCAGTTCTTCTTTATCCCCTTGTAGCAGATCTCCTCTCTGATGTCATGAGGGGTAACAGTGACCTTGACTTGGAGGTAGACGGCAGAGTTGCTCTCAGTTTTTCTTGTGGCCTTGACTCAGGGGGAACCAATGGGAAAATCTCAGTAGACCCCAGTATCTGGTGGTCAGATACAATACCCTCCACATCCCCATCCTGGACTCTTTTCTCCAGCGCATACCCCAGAGTCTCTTCTCTGCTAACAAAGGACCCTCCAACTGTCCCTGCTCTTGTGGCCTCTGTTGGAGGGACATGCTCAGATTACTTCTTTTGCGTCTCTTTAGCCCTCTCTCTGACCATAGGATGGAAGAGAATTCTCTTCCTTGGGGAGATCTGCCGGGAGCTGGGCAAGTCCTTACCTGGGGAACGTCAGCCTGACCCTTGAGAGGTAAGCACATCTAGAAGGTCCCAGGTTCCAGGGGTAGGTAGATAGGTACAATGTTCTTTCAGCCTCCCAAATCTATCCTCCTTGATATAGCCTACCCGTGCCTAGGGCCTAGCCTTCATAATACAGTGGTTACAAGTCATGCTGCTAACATCAGGGTTAGCAGTTCAAAACTACCAGCTGTCCCGTGGGAGAAAGATGAGGCTTTCTGCTCCTGTAAAGATTTACAGCCTCGGAAACCCTATGTGGGATCGCTGTGAGTCGGAACCAAGTCCACAGCATACAGCCACCACCATACCTAGGTCCTGAATCTCTTTCCTTTCCTACTTCTCTCTCTGTTTCCTGACTCACACCTGTGACCTACCACACTTAACCACGTGGTCCAGGCTTCTGCCCATACTGCTCCCTCTGCTGGGAATGTATTCTTTACAAAAGACCACACAGATTCCATTTATATGAGATCTATAGAAAGGCAAATTTGCAGAGGCAGAAAGTAGATCAGTAACTGTCTAGGGATGGAGAAAGGGGCTTTGGTGACTTGTCAGTTGGCACCCCTCCAGCAGCTCTGTGGGACAAAGACCTGACAGTTCCTGTAAAGATTGTTGTTGTTGTTAAGTGCTATCGGTTCCAACCCATAGCGACCTATGTAAGGTTTCCAAACAGCAGCTGGTGAGCTTGAACCACCAACCTTGCAGCTCAAATGGCTTTGCGGTCTGGCGCAGCCTAATAAAAGAGACCAGGTTTCAGAAAGAGACTGGAGCAACCTGAGACTAGGGCCTTTGACCACCTTTCAGGTCTGGAAAAGAACTCACCCTCATGACCCAACTTTCCGCCAATCAGTAGACAGGTGTATAGGGGGGACAACACTAGCAAGGTATGCTCACCATAGAATGGTCAATTATTCAAAATCAAAAGGGCAGCATTTTTCTAAGGACAAAGTTAAGAAGGGATAGGAAAGAGGGTGGAATGTAAATAGGGACCACAGGAAGGAAGCAGGATAGCTGTTGTTGCATAGAAGGGAAAGTAAACATGCAGATGAAACAAAGTATGATTCATTGAATGTAAAGCTGATGATCTTGTCTGTAAACCTTTACTCAAATCACAATAAAAAGTTAAAAAAAAATTTAAAACAGACCAAGTTTACTGTTTGGACAGAGACTGGTGGAACCCTGAAACCACGGCTGTTAGTCATTCATTAGGTCTGGAGCTCTATGGCACAATTTTCAGCCAAGCAACAGACCATTTTTAAGGGGTGCATCCTAGTGAAGTATGCACCCCTTGGATCTCATCCATCATTTGAGATCACAAGGGCAGCATTTACCCAAGGATGAAGTTCAGAAGGGTTAGGAAAGAAGAAGGAATGGGAACAGGAAACACCAAGAGGAAGTGGGATAAAGGATGTTGTATTAAAGGGATTGAAGTCAATGAAATGAAACAAAATGTGTATGAATTGTTGAATGTAAAATTGATAATCTACTCTGTAAACTTTCACCCAATTCACAATAAAAAGTTAAATACATTTTAAAA